ATCTAAATTGAAGAACCAATATTATCTGCATGGCCTCGTAATGGTTGCCTGTGTGATTAGGCCTGTAATGAGAATGGGCCTGCTTTTATCTAATCAACATGTCCTCATCACATTTGATATAAATCTTTAAGGAGAATAGATTATTAAGAGATACAAATCCATTTGGGAGCTGAAAGTCCGACTGTCCACGCAAAATGACACTTGCCCTGATATTCATAAACTTTTTTGTAAATGGAAAACATAAATAAAAACGAAATTACGATGGGATTTGTTTATTGTTTATTCCTACAATGAGTTTCAATAAATACTTTTTTTTAATAAATAAAAATATATTATTTCTCAATGTAGGCCAAACTATTCATATGTGTGTGAAAAGTAGCCTATAGTTAATTACATTTTTAAAAACATTTTAGTCATTTAGCAGACGCTCTTATCCAGAGCGACTTACAGTTAGTGAGTGCATACATTTTCATACTGGCCCCCCGTGGGAAACGAACCCACAACCCTGGCGTTGCAAGCGCCAAACTCTACCAACTGAGCTACAGGGGACTAATTCCATCAACAATGTGAAATGTCTCATTATTTTAGGGATTACAAGTATAATTTATAGATTTTTTATATGGAGAAGTAAAAAGGTTAATATACATATTTTGACCCACACCGGTTATTATATATTTTTATTTTATACTGAATTGGTCATTTAGAATACATAACATTTTAATAGGGCTATTACCTACAGAAATATATCAAATATTTCAGTTTGTCTATCATTAGCAATGTTGATAATTGATATAATGCTCACGCACATTCACTATCTTTCATGTTATAAACAATCATTTACAGTTAATTTCTCACACATTGCTGCATGTTTTCGTTAAATGTAATGTATTGGCGAATCTGTCTCAAGAGGATCACAATTACACATCCTTTGTTCAATGGTTTGTTAGTAGGCCTACGTGTTATTTTTTTAGATTAACTATTTTAAAAATAATTTCTGGTGGATTAAGCCCATTATGAATAACATCTAAATCAGAGATAAATGAGCAATTATGATTGTTTCTCCATTTTAATGAATTACCATTAATCAAAAACACCAAACACACTTCCTATTTTTATTCTACCTATGGACTTTCGGAGTCAACCTGAAGTCAGGCATTCACTGAAATCTCACTAAACTGTTTTAACACCGATTGATTGGTGGCTAATTAATCAACTGGATCACACGGTCAGAGTAAAGGCCCATTCTATGATGACAGACATTCAGACGACCAAACCCATCCTTGATTAAAAGACGACTGTAGAAAATGAACAGAGGGATTAAGTCACAGGTGGTTGGACCCTCCGCAGTGATGAAATAAAATACATTTATTGAGCAGAAGACAGTCAGACAGCATCCTCTGATTGTCTCCTAGTGCCCTGCGCTCCTTAGGGGCACGAGAAGTGATAATATTAATCTCATTATCTGAGGCCAGTCTAAGAGAGGCCTAGTTTCGAGTTTTATTAGTTGTATGTACTGGATACACAGGCCTACAGATCGTCATTGGGAATTTAAACCAGAAACAACCACTTGATGAGAATATAAAATAATATAATCAATTTAGGTAGCTAATATTCACAAGTACCAACAATTATTTTCACAAAGAAATTAATAGAACGTGATGTAAATGATCAGGATATATATAAATATACTGTATATATAAAATAAATGAATAAATAAATATATATAAGCCATATAATATTATGTTATTGCCTCGCCGTCATTTAGGACTATAAATGTATTATAGGGAGTGTGAAAGTATCGAAATACTGTTATTATGCTGTTAATACCACTCTTACTGCAACAAGACTACTAACTCTACGCCTACTACTGCTAATAATAATCCTGCTCATGATAATAATAATAATAATAATAATAATAGTAATAATTAATAACATAAAAACAGCATGACAATAATGTACTTATAATAGTTTGCCTATTAATTACAGTTGTATCATCATTAGTAATGATTGTTGCAGTGAGTTACAGGAATGCTGTTGGCAGTATTTGTTTGGCTCTGTCTTGAGGTATTAGTGTTAGGCCTAATAATCGTGATAATCATATTTGTGAAATTATTATCGTTCACTTTTTCTTGTGGAGGTGGAGTCAATCGTTAATATAACAATAACTCAAAATGTCTATAATGAGAGTGATTAGGCTATTGCATCATCAAGCCAAGTTATTGGTCGTATCTCTTATCGCCTTGCTGTTTTTATAGTGCTCATTCTGATTTATCTTGTCATAAAACCAAGCATAACTTTCCCTCTCAGAGGAGACATTATTTTACAGCAAGCTCTGTTTTTAGCTAATTGTATAAGGCTCGCTTCAAACACGCAGCGTTGCGTAAATTTGACGCCTGTTGATTTACCATTATTATATCTAAAGGCCTACACTCTGTTTACCTAGACATTTCGGCGTTTTATTTAGCCTTTGTTTGTTAGGCCTGTTATTTAGAATGCACCATCACGATTAATATCTACGAAAACAATAGAAGTATCAAAGGATTTAGTTAAAATCGGATTAATTCATTTGAAAATATATGGAGAACATCTAAACAAAATTCACAAATCAGCAGGAACTGTGACAATTTCCTGGATCTTTAAATGTTACGTTATATTGATTCTAAAAACAATCAAGACACAGCAAATTCAGCAAAAGGTGGGTCTCTTCTTCATGTTGGCTTTATGCTCGTCCCCCCTGCCCCTCTCCTCCTCCAACTCCTGAGTCCTACCTTGGAGTGCGTCACGTGGTCTTAGTCCGTACAAATAACTCGCAGTAGAGTTTTCCAGTAGAGAACGAATCGGAGCTCTGTTATTTCAGCAATTATCAGCCACAGTAACTATCTTCAGATACAAAGAAGAGGAGAGAGAGGCTTGGACCATCCGGGAAGTAAGGAATTCCTTTTTCTCGTAAACTTTTATGCGCAAAGACATTTTGGACATCTTTGTGGGAGCCTCAGTCACTTTCGTTGGGTCTATCTGAGTGAAGTTTGCCCACAGCGCTGCTCAAGCTTCTCCTCTGAAAAACAGACTTCATCACCCGACCATCCTTATCTGGTGAGATAATACTACGAGAGCTCTTGTATGAAATTGTATTCCTCCTGTGCACACTGCTATCAACGTTTTATGTGATTTGCGTTACTATTGATAAACATATAGCCTATGCATCTCAGATATGGTTCGCCTATCTATTGTGGGTTGATTAGGTTCCTATGATTTAATGACATGGTGCAAGTCTGGTGTTCCTCGGGATATCTCGGGTAGCTGATTAGTTATATCTACATGCAAAGATATGGTAGACCATTAGTGTCATTTTAATCAATTAAATGTCAATCAGAATGATACAGATAATATACTACTCTTGTTGTTGATCAATTCGTTTTCTATTTTTCCTTGTATTGCTACAGCCTAGTTATTTGATTGTGCGATTTACATCAATTTACTTTAGGCCTAATTCGTGATATTCTCCATAGATTTACCTAAATGATACCAAAAGTTATTTTAAAGAGAAAGTACTAAACAAAAGATTAAGATAAAAGATCGGTCCAGATATGCCTCAGGCTGTATTCAGGCCACAGGTGCGAATTGTAGACTGCTGGGTGATGTTTCTTCTTTGATTAGTGGCCACAATCCCTCAATTACAGGACACATTTGTTGATTGTGGTTCTTTCCCCTTCATCAGGAGTGGATTTGTTAATTATCCTGCTACTGGATAACGAAAACCGCCGACGACTCACTGACGTGCCTTAGGAGCTAAGTGGAAGTGACTTTACGTGACCCGCTTTGTCCCAGGAGTCAGTACCCATATTCTTCCAAATAGGACGAGTATACCGTGTCAAAATGTACCAAAGCCTTGCTTTGTCATCCAACCAGTCCCCATATGCACACGATGCAGGGAACTATATGCACCCTTCAGCGAGTTCCCCTGTCTACGTGCCCACTACGAGGGTGCCTGCTATGCTGCAAACCCTGCCGTACTTGCAGACGTGCGAGTCCACCCATCAGTCCCATGGCCTCGGCGGGCATCATGGCTGGCCTCAGACTGGCACAGACAGTTCGTCCTTCAACCCGGGCAGCCCCCATCCGCCTCCCGGGTTCTCCTACTCTCACAGCCCGCCAGTAAGCAGCAATACCGGCAGGGACACCACCTACCAGAACCCGCTTGTGCTCAGTAATGGTGGTCGGGCCGACCCGTATGGCAGCGCTTTGGTGCGGTCAGTTGGAGGATCATACTCGAGTCCGTACGCGTACATGAGCCCGGAGATGGCAACCTCTTGGACACAAGGCCACTTTGAGAGTGGCATGATCAGTCTTCAGGGACGGCAAGGCTGCCTGTCTGGGAGAAGGTCCAGTTTGGGTACGTAACAGTCATTGATAAATGAGGCGAACCGTGTGTTGTGTGTCTGACATTTCCACTAAAACTGAAGGGAAATCGTCGTATCAAATTAATGTAGGCTACTCATATTTAATTATTTTTTCCCTTATGTATGTGGATAATTGGTGAAGGCCACAAATGAAAATAATATTAGCATATAATTAACAACAAAAAAACACAATTGAATTTATATAGCAGGCCTAGTAGTCCTTTACTGGCCCATAGAAGCACTATAGGAGGCAGTCAAAAAATATATACCTATATTTCATAAATAATTATGAATAATGTTTTGAAGATTAAATGTTGTGGATAATTCACCTTGAATTGTATCCAATATTTTTTCGATAACTGTTCTTTATTGGTTAGGTCTACTTTTGCAAATTAGGCTATTCGTTTCTGTGGCTGTCAAGGGTTAAAGGGGCTGGTGCTCTGATCTCACAATTTACAGCCTGGTTGTTTCTTAAGTTATTTATTGATGCGATTGAGAAGTCCCATTGTATGTGGTAAACTCTACCATCGATTGTACTCAGTCACTGGGATTCAATCAGCCTTTAAAAAAGTAACATTTCTGCCAGCGTTCACAATACACATTGTTTAAAAGAGAAGGTCGCTAAAACCAATTAATTAAGGTGCTAATTTAATCTCCACCACCTGTCAGTTTTCTTTTGCAGTGTTTTGATTATTAGTACAGACATTCACTAGTGAAAACTATTCAAATGTCACCTTGATTAGATCAGACGAAAAAGTTATATTTGGAAATGCGTCTGCTATACACGTTTGGCAAGCAGCCAACACGTCCTTTGAAGGTGGAACATCAAAATGCAGTAGGCTTTTACGTTTAACGTGTTTTGAAGCAGGATCTTCACCTGTTGCATGGATGTAAGGACGTCCGTTTCTTGCAGGCATATAGCCCATATCCAGTTAATAACAAGACACAGTACGTGTTTGTTGATTACTTCGTTTCACATTGTAAACAGGAACGAATTTTCATCCTGGTGAAATTAATTTGTATATTTTCTATTTATTTTGGATCGACGGTTCGTGGATTTGCTGACTTAAAGACCTATACACATTCTTCTTTTAACAAATATGGTGCGTGTGTGTGTGTTGTTTTGTGAGAATGTGTTGTGTGTGTGTGTGTGTGTGTGTGTGTGTGCGTGTGCGTGTGCGTGTGTTGTTTTGTGAGCGTGTGTGTGTGTGTGTGTGTGTGTGTTAATCGATTGTTATTATTGTTTCCAATATTATTGTTATTGTTTTTATCTATTGACCCTCTTCCAATATGTGGACAAGGAATTCGAGCAATTAATTGTAGGAGGCCGTCGCCTGTCAGTAGCTTGATTGATATGGGGACCCCTGGATCCTTAACGCTGATAAGAGCCCCATTGACATTCCACCCGTCTGAGCCATGTGCCCCGCCAGCCGCCCTAATAGATACACCAATGACCCCTTCTCCATATTGATACATTCGGTTTAGATATATTTTAATCACCGAGAGGGTGATTTAAATTAAAATTATACTCTAGCGAGCTAAGCGGGGACATTTATCACGCGCTAGCGCGTTCTGTTGAAGATATGGGTTTACACACATCAAAGATGTCTAAATTTATGGCTTTCATGTGTGGATTTTTTTTCTTCCATTTTTGTAATTTATTATAGCCTATCCTTTCAATTTATCGAAAAAATACAACAATTGACCAAAGAACAACATTTTTACCCAATATCCAAATAGGCACAGACATTGCACTTGCAATCGCAAATAAATTGTATTCCTCTCATTTTACAAAATTATCCACATTTACCGAATTATGCAATTTAACTAAAGCTGATTATCAAGGGTATTTCCATAGCTAGTTCCAGTCCTGTTCATGTTTTGCTCTAGTGTGATCATGTGACACACGTTGCATTAAAACCAACCCAACACCACATACAAAAAATATTACAACTCTAAATGTTGTCTTCATCATATTACAGACATGTTGGAGGAGTTCCCGGGAGAGGGTCGTGAGTGTGTAAACTGCGGCTCCATCTCCACTCCTCTGTGGCGGCGAGACGGTACCGGGCACTACCTGTGCAATGCCTGTGGCCTGTACCACAAGATGAACGGAATCAACAGGCCGCTCATCAAACCACAGAAACGCCTGGTAAGCACCATTACATTCTTTGTATGTTCATAAAAGTGTATGAATTTAACTTATAACTTGTCTTAGAGGCATCTTATTGAGTAGGCCCACTATTGTGCCTACATAGATACTACGTGTCCAAAAGTATATGGACACCTGCTCTTCGAACATCTCATTCCAAAATCATTGGCATTATTATGGAGTTGGTCCCCCCTTTGCTGCTATAACAGCCTCCACTCTTCTGGGAAGGCTTTTTTACTAGATGTTGGAACGTTGCTGCGGGGACTTTCTTCCATTCAGCCACCAGAGCATTTAGTGAGGTCGGGCTCTGATGTTGGGCAATTAGGCCTGGCTCGAGGTCGGCGTTCCAATTCATCCCAAAGGTGTTCCATGGGATTGAGGTCAGGGCTCTGTGCAGGCCAGTCAAGTTCTTCCACACCGATCTTGACAAACCATTTCTGTATGGACCTCGCTTTGTGCACGTGGGCATTGTCATGCTGAAACAGGAATGGGCCTTCCCCAAACTGTTGCCACAAAGTTGTCAGCACAGAATCGTCTAGAATGTCAATGTATGCTGTAGCGTTAAGATTTCCCTTCACTGGAACTAAGGGGCCTAGCCCGAACCATGAAAAACAGCCCCAGACCATTGTTCCTCCTCCACCAAACTTTACAGTTGGCTCTATGCAGTAAGGCAGGTAGCGTTCTCCTGGTAACCGCCAAACCCAGATTCGTTCATCATATTGCCAGATGGTGAAGCTTGGTTCATCACTCCAGAGAACGCTTTTCCACTGCTAAAGAGTCCAATGGTGGCAAGCTTTACACCACTCCAGCCGACGCTTGGCATTGCTCATGGTGATCTTAGGCTTGTGTGCGGTTGCTGGCCATGGAAACCCATTTCATGAAGCCCCCTGACGAACAGTTATTGTGCTGACGTGCTTCCAGAGGCAGTTTGGAACTCGGTAGTGAGTGTTGCAACCGAGGACAGGCGATTTTTACACCTAAGCGCTTCAGCTGTGAGCTTGTGTGGCCTGCCACGTCGCGGCTGGGCCATTGTTGCTCCTAGACGTTTCCACTTCACAATAACAGTACTTACAGGTGACCGGGGCAGCTCTAGCAGGGCAGAAATTTGATGAACTGACTTGTTGGAAATGTGGCATTTTATGACTGTGTCACGTTGAAAGTCACAGAACTCTTCAGTAAGGCCATTATACTGCCAATGTTTGTCTATGGAGATTGCATGGCTGTGCGCTCCATTTTATACACCTGTCAGCAATGGGTGTGGCTGAAATAGCCAAATCCACTAATTTGAAGGGGTGTCCACAGACTTTTTTTTTATATATATTTTATTTTACAATAGTCAATGAGCTTTTAAAATGGACCTTTAAGAATGTTAATGACTAAATGTATTGATTGGTTTGGTGGGTTTTGAGAAGAAAAAAAGGCATATGCAGATAGTAGTTTATTCTAGGTTAACACAGATATTGGTGGTCAGAAGGAGGAGGAAAAAGACTGGGACATAGAGGGCCAGTGAGTGTCTGCAGAAGGTCAGTGTAGTAGAGTGAGAGAAAGAGGCCTTCACTGCAGTCTTTTTCCCAGGCAGGAACCAGCCTCTCAGAGCAGCTGCTGTGAATTACCCCAGCTCTGCTCTGCTCTGCCTGTGCTTGTTCTGTTTTTATTTGTCCTTCAGAGACCTTGCCCTTGGGTTGTCTGTTTTTAGCCAGATCTGTACGAGGCAAGAGAACAGCGTGACTAAACAACAGTGTGTTTCTGCTGAAAAATCTCACTTGTGTCCAATAACAAGCTGATAGAGAGACGAGGCAGTTTCAGCCAGGAGTGCTTAGTGCTTAGCCCAGCACTATGTGAGACATTTCTCATGTGAAGTCTTTATCAGTACACTGACTGTTTGGTTTCTCCATGGAAACTATGGCAGAATCATGTGCACAATAAACAAAAGCAATTCACTTATATTAAAGGGATACTTCACTCAAATTAAAATTTTACACAAAGTATAGTATATGGACCAACAGAGTCAGTAACGCAATATATATATATATATATATATTTGGCTGAATTATCCCTTAAGGTGCTCATTCTCTACACCTGTCATACAATCCATCTTTAACTGGCCTTGTCCTTGGTCCAATTCTCTCTCAGAAGAATGTCATGATAATGCTTTGAGTTGGCTGGTTGGTTATAGTCTGGTTATTGACGCCTTGTCTTTGCTTCTCCATTTATAGCAGACCACATCTCGCCGGGCCGGCCTATGCTGCACTAACTGCCACACCAGCACTACAACGCTGTGGCGTCGCAATGCAGAGGGAGAGCCTGTCTGCAACGCCTGTGGCCTGTACATGAAACTACATGGGGTAGGTAACACACACACACACACACACACACACACACACACACACACACACACACACACACACACACACACACACACACACACACACACACACACACACATACATACATACATACACACGCACACACACACACACACACACACACATACATACATACATACATACATACGCACACACACACACACACACACACACACACACACACACACACACACACACACACACACACACACACACACACACACACACACCTTTCCCATGTACCCTACTCTGCTCAAATTATCTAATGTACACAACGTTTGCCCTGGGGGGAGCCTGTGTAAAATGCTGCTGTAAGAATCAGCCCCTAGTAGCATACCAGTGCAGTGTGGGCAGCATATTATTCATGTTGTGTAAAAGCTTTCCACGGTCATCATGGATGTTGTTATCAAAAGAGAGAGGTGGGAGGAAGGGGTCATTGTGTGTGTTTTCAAGGCAAGCAGGCCTTTGTTACAACTAGGATCTAAATTATTGGCCTCTCCTCCTCTTAGGTCCCCAGACCACTGGCCATGAAGAAGGAAAGCATTCAGACCAGGAAACGGAAACCTAAGATGCCCAAGTCTAAACCCTCAACAGGTAAGAATGGGGAATGGAAAGAAAGATTGATGAGAGTATGTATCTGTATTTGTGTGTGTGTGTCCTGTACCTGTTAATCACCCATTTGTCTGTCTGTCTTCTTCAGGAGGGTTGTCAGCCTCAGGCACCAACTCACCGTCATCCCTGTCTGTCTCGGAACACGCCTCTACGATAAAGAGTGAACCCAACATGGCCCCCTCACCCTACGCCGGACAGACTGTAGCCTCTGTGTCCCAGGTAAGGCTTCTCACTCCTGGGATCCCCATACAGGGGATGATGTTACTTTATAGTCTAGATAATTCAGCCCATTAGTTTTTACTAAAGAACTTATCATTGTGGTCAGTCATTTACATATCCCATTCTATTATTTGAAGGCTTCATCACATCTGGACAGTTCAGGACATGTGGACATCAAATATGAGAACTACCCCTTTACTCCCACGTCCATCGCCCCACAGAACTCTTGGTGTGCTCTGTCTCAGGCATGAGCTTGACCGCAGCTCACCGTGTCCTGGTTCTGGACCCAGCTCAGCTCACTGTGGATAATATAGACTTGTGACAAGAACTACCTATTACAGACTTATTCTCTTTCCCATGGCTGGAGGGATGAAAAAACAGAAGGAAGTGATGGCAATCAAGTGGAATGTATAGAAATAACTTTTTACTGGCTACTATCAATACTATTTCTAGTTTTAGTTTTGTTGTTGTTTTTGTTGTTGTTGTTGTCTTTGTTGTTGTTGTTGTCATTATTGATATTTTGCTGATATCACATCACAGTTTTACATGGTGTTTCAAGAGATAACCAGAAACAGTTCAACAAGTTATCACAGAGTGTTATTCACAAATCCAGAAGGACAAAAAATGCAAGTGTTTTATTACCTCTGAACATGTTTCTTTACTAGTGTGTAGATTATTAACTTTTATATGTACATTATTTATGTTAAGATAAGAACAGTCATGAAACTCAAAAGCCAACATGTCATATCCCAAAGTCCATTCCCTTCTAAGAATGTCTTGTATGTTCAAGGTATGACCTCTAAAATAGGAAGTATACAGTTGAAGTCGGAAGTTTACATACACTTAGGTTGGAGTCATTAAAACTTGTTTTTCAACCACTCCACAAATGTCTTGTTAACAGACTATAGTTTTGGCAAGTCGGTTAGGACATCTACTTTGTGCATGACACAAGTAATTTTTCCAACAATTGTTTACAGACAGATTATTTCACTTATAATTCACTGTATCACAATTTCAGTGGGTCAGAAGTTTACATACACTAAGTTGACTGTGCCTTTAAACAGCTTGGAAAATTCCAGAGAATTATGTCATGGCTTCAGAAGCTTCTGATAGGCTAATTGACATCATTTGAGTCAATTGGAAGTGTACCTGTGGATGTATTTCAAGGCCTACCTTCAAACTCAGTGCCTCTTTGCTTGACATCATGGGAAAATCAAAAGAAATCAGCCAAGACCTCAGAAAAAGAATTGTAGACCTCCACAAGTCTGGTTCATCATTGGGAGCAATTTCCAAACACCTGAAGGTACCACGTTCATCTGTACAAACAATAGTACGCAAGTATAAACACCATGGGACCACGTAGCCGTCATACCGCTCAGGAAGGAGACGCGTTCTGTCTCCTAGAGATGAACGTACTTTGGTGCGAAAAGTGCAAATCAATCGCAGAACAACAGCAAAGGACCTTGTGAAGATGCTGGAGGAAACAGGTACAAAAGTATCTTTATCCACAGTAAAACGAGTCCTATATCAACCTATCCTGAAAGGCCGCTCAGCAAGGAATAAGCCACTGCTCCAAAACCGCCATAAAAAAGCCAGACAAAATGTGTGGGCAGAACTGAAAAAGTGTGTGCGAGCAAGGAGGCCTACAAACCTGACTCAGTTACACCAGCTCTGTCAGGAGGAATGGGCCAAAATTCACCCAACTTATTGTGGGAAGCTTGTGGAAGGCTACCCGAAACGTTTGACCCAAGTTAAACAATTTAAAGGCAATGCTACCAAACACTAATAGAGTGTATGTAAACTTCTGACCCACTGGGAATGTGATGAATAAATAAAAGCTGAAATAAATCATTCTCTCTACTATTATTCTGACATTTCACATTCTTAAAATAAAGTGGAGATCCTAACTGACCTAAGACAGGGACTTTTTACTAGGATTAAATGTCAGGAATTGTAAAAAACTGAGTTTAAATGTATTTGGCTAAGGTGTATGTAAACTTCAGACTTCAACTGTACATTTACATGTGCTTTCCATGTAATGAATTGCATACGTTGTTCATTTGACAGACGATGCATATATTTACATTCATACAGATACTGTATATACTGTATATGTTATCAGATATGTTGAAAGTGCATAAATACTTTTTTATTTTAGATGTCATAACTGCATACTTGAATTCGTTTTCATTATTTCCAAGAGCCCTGTTCTATTAGTTCAGCTTTTAACAATGTATCGTCTGATCATTTAAAGTGCAATGTCTTAATTTAAAAAAAATAAAGACAAAGAAAAATACTTTTATTTTAATTATTCTGAATATGTTAATCTAGTTTTATTTGCTGTGTTTTTGTTGAAATATAAGGGAATTCTATTGTTATTTTATAACCTAAAATTGTTCAGAGACTTGAGTCTACTTTAGTTGTATAACCAAGTCTGATAGTCTCGTTGGTTTTGCAATGCTCTTTTAAATCTGTTTAGTTTAATAAACCGATAAATGAATTGTTCCGTCATTTTATTAAGTAACTTTAAAACAATTGGAAAATAATCCACTTTTATTTTATTGTTTACCTTTTAATAATTGTTTTGTGCATGACCTGCCAACCTAAGTTATATACAGTAGATGACTTAAAAATCTATTTTCACTGATGTGGACTGCAGGGTTATTTCCATGACCGCTGACATCCTGTGTGATATTTATAGTCAAAACAATTGTTTGATGGCAAACCACAGATGTAACATTTTTTTGTCTGTTTAATGAATATTTCAATTGATATTTGGTTTCAAAAAAATGTTCTTGGGTGTTTTTTTTTCTCTGTATTATAGTTATTTGTTCTTGTAGCCTTCTCAGTAGTGTAGGTGTATTTGGAAATTAGGGAGTATCTCTCCTGTCCGGTTATATGGTTGTCGTTGAACATGTGTGCGTGTGTGTGTTTGTGTCTGTCTGTGTCTGTGTGAGGAGGGCGTGTGCTCCTCTTGCTCAAGCCAGTGTTGTCGACCAAAGGTTGCGTTCCAACTGTGCTTTATGGCCCCTGGGGCCTATGCCTGGCTGGCACGCGTTGGCCCCGCCACTTGGAAATAGTGGCACGACAGCGACAAACCATAAGCTTTACTGCCTCATGGCGACACAGAGGCAGAGGTGCCGCCACTACCCTCCTTTTATGACTATTTGCCCATTTGTTTCTGTACTCTTATCTTCTGTGTTGGTAGTTGCAGCATGAGAGAGTGATTATCTTCTGTGGTGGTAGTTGCTGCATGAGAGAGTGATTATCTTCTGTGGTGGTGGTTGCTGCATGAGAGAGTGATTATCTTCGGTGGTGGGGGTTGCTGCATGAGTGAGTGATTATCTTCTGTGGTGGTAGTTGCTGCATGAGAGAGTGATTATCTTCTGTGGTGGTGGTTGCTGCATGAGAGAATGATTATCTTCTGTGGTGGTAGTTGCTGCATGAGAGAGTGATGTGTTGTATGATGAATGGGTTAGGTCATTAGACTCTTACACTGCCGAATAGCTCACTCTTGCAGAATCTAGACGGGCTATGGTTAGGCATTTTAGAGCATTTTGGGTTATGAAACTCAGGACAAAGAAGGACAGACACGCCGCATAAAGAAATACCATCGTCCTCCCACCAGACTTTCTTTGTGGTCACATAGATATTGTGAATTATAAGTAAGAATTGTATGCAGGTAAACACCAGCCTCCAACTCACCCCCCCCCCCCCCCCCCCCCCCCTCCCCCACCAGCCTCCCCGTCCCTGCTTCAAACACTAACCCTGTTGTGTTTGCATTACCCTACCCCCTTCAAAGGGTCAGTTCTAAGTGTTACATAGTGCTAAATAGACAGGTCCACTCAGGGGAGTGGGGTCGATCAGGACCCTAGGAGTCTGAGCCGCGTTTACATTCAATAGCCTGTGAGTTAGTGCGGTCGTTGGCAGTGTAAAACATTTGAGTGGGACTTCTGGAGAGCCATGTAGTTATCTCTCACAGCCACTTGCTCCTCTAGGTTTTATTTAGAGAAAACACTTATTAGAAACGGGAGTTTGAACACTTTGTAGGGCCAGGCTGGAAGAACTACCCATAGTAGGAGGCTATGCAAGGCCATGTATTTTGCCCTGCACACACTCTCACTCTCCCTGCCCTGTAGCTCTGTGATTAGTCTTTGACTCAGTATTCTGCTTGACGTTGGAGCTGTCACCGTCATGTTATTTACTATAATGAGAGAAAGTTTACCACTAATCTATTTTCTGAATGGAGCACTGTTTGAGACAGCCAAGGGCGATGACTAAAACCTTGTGGCTGGACCTAAGAACACCAAGGCCAGCGTCACTGAAGTGTCAAGGCTATGATTGTTCTTTTTGTTAGCTAGTACTCTTTAGTTTCTGTAGTTGCTCTACTACGATGTCTCCGATCCATCATTCAGGGAAATGTATGTGTGTGTGATTCCAGTCCCAGGAGAGCCATTTTCCCCCTGCAGGTCTGTAGCGCTCTGTCTTCTGTGATGGAATTAGAACAGCTCAATTGGGGGTCCGACAGATAGACCAACAGGAGAAAGGCACATAGAGCAGTGATAGTGTGAGTGACTGAGGCTAAGGCCCATAGTGAGCGATGGCTTTTCCTCTTGGCCACTCCATTCAATTATTCCTCCGTCCATGGCGGAAAACAGGATATTGTCTTTAAACTCAACAGTTATCCTGAGAGTTGGTGTGCATGTGGTTGTGAGTGTAGGGGGGTGGCGGTGGTAGGGAGGGTAGCGCAGGCATTTATTTAGGTGATATTCAGCTCTTAAATCAAAACTTCCGCGCGTTGTCTCCACAGCGATTCCCCAAAGGCCTCATTTATCACTCTGTGTGACAGGGTGCTTAGACGGAGGAACGCAGACGTGTGTGCTTTGGTGTGTGTGTGCGTGTGTGTTTGCATGGGTTTTGATTTCTCAGGGCCGGCTAATGGATGATGTTTTTCCAGTACGCTGTGTGAATGTCTTTTGCGTGTTATAATCACTGCAGTGTCCTGTCTCCGTCCGTCCCACTACAGGATTACAGAAATCGCTTCACAGTTTCCTCAGTCAGGGCAGAAGAGATAAACCCTGAACTTATGTACCCCCTAAGCCCCAAAAGGGGTTATGTCACTCACAGTCCTACTTCAGTTAGCAAAGGCCAATGAATGACACAATGAGTTACCTAATGGCCAAATAATGTTTCAGAATAGTCCTAACACTGACCGTTAGAGACATTTAAGGTAGTGTTTTGCAAAGGCCAC